AGAGTGACGTGGACATGAGAGCCGCTGGTACATAATTCGTCTCGCTGGCACATCGTTCGAATCGCTGTTGCATCACTCACACGATTCGCAGGATTCGCATAGTCTGACGTAGGCATATTACTGCGCGAAATTACTACTGTGGAATAGACATATCCCTTCCTAAGAACTACGAATGGTGAAAAATACAATATATTTTCAATTCGAAAACTTACTTGACTCAAGTCTTCCGCAAATGGACCACGAATGAAAGCAACGGCGTCTAGGTTGTGGACTTGTAACATTGCAGAAGGAACCTGCAAGACAAAAAACGCCGTTATCTGGCTATAAGTAGGGAGGTAGACAACTTAAATGAAGACACATGGAATGGTTCAGTTATATGGAAGATAGTCCTAGTTCGAAAAGCGTACCTTGTTCAACACTGCATTTTCCTTCAACCATCGCACACTCTCCGGATTGAGATCGTTCGCTAACGCGTGCAAAGCGCGCCCTTTCTTTATTGCTGGCAAGACAAATGGACCCACTCCAGCGCAAGCGTCATAAACTAAATAAGCGAGAATCTGAAACCTGCGTCACTATTGAAAAATGACGCTTAATTGCTGCTCAAACGAACAAAAATGAAATTACGAATGAAAACGCATACCTAAAGAGCGGGAATCAAACAACTTCACTACACGTTCATGTTCGTGGCTGAGGCGAGAATTCCAAAAGACCTGAAAAAGTCAACATAGTAGACGATAATTCATGCGCCAAAACTCGCCAAGTGCTCGGGGTAAAAACACCTCCAAAATGCTCACCATTGTTATTAAGGCTACATTTTGTGCTCTTTACAAAAGTTGAAAAAAAGCAGAGTGATCTCGGCACAATAGTGGAAGAAATGGGTGAACAGAGTCAACGATAAAAATAATGGAAACTTCATATAAGTTCGAGTTCAATATATAAAGAGCGCAGTACCTTTGAGAAATCGAGTCGATATCTCACACCTCCTTCGAGGGTTTCCGTAACATAGTCTTCTTCGCCTGCTAAAAGATCCAACTCAAAATTCCGATACTCGCTCTTGATCCCATCAATTTTGTTGACAACAGTTCTGAAAGGAATGTAAACTTAGTAAGAAAAGCAAGAGA